CCCCCCCCCCCATTAAAAAGCTGAAAATCTATGTTTTTCCACAGCAAACAAAAGCCCAGATCCTTGCTGATAAGTTTATCTGTCACAATTTGATACATGGAAAAAGGGAAGCCTCCAAGCCCCAACACACACATTATGCAATCCATTTCACTATGCATTGGTCATTTGTCCCTTAAGAAACAGTCCTGGTAGTGCACCCTGTTGCACAGATTATTTTCAACTTGCATGGCACATCACCACTTCTAGTAGATGCTGCTGGTGTAATCAGGCAAATGCCATAGCACAACAACATGCAAAGGGTTGACATAACTAATACCCACTGAAATAAGCATGACTGGCACTCCCTGTAACTAGCTAAAAATAAAGTCCCTTTAGACCTCTCCTTACTGTACTCTCAAAAACGCATTCACTTTTGACTTAAGTTGGTTTGGGAAATTTAAATCTCTGGTTCCTTCATTTACTGGAGTGAACACTCACATTACTGACCACCATCTGTAAGATAAGTGACACACACCATTTCAGTTAGCCCGACATCAAAAAAAAATGCAAGCATAAGTTTAAAAAGCCAGGTGTCAAGACTGCAACAGCTGACAGCACCAGAAGCTGGTTAGGCTATAGAGCACACGCACACAAAAGCCACACAGAATGCGCCATGTGGAAATCTGACTGCAAGTTCAGCTATTTTTACTCCCCAAAAATCTTCCACCCCAACCCCACCTGGTTTTGGCTATGCTGGGTGTGGATGTCAAGTGAAAACTTGCCCAACTAGGACTGTGGACAGTGACATTGGTGTTGGCACAACCTCTCCAAAGAATGTAATCAGAGCATGACATAGATAACAAGCTGGGTTCAAGAACTACTCAGATGATTTCTCCGATCAGATACAGAAGATACTTTGATACTATCAAGGAGTCCAGCATAGCTCATCCACTACTGGTTCAAAACAAATACATGCCCCAACCAGACAGAAGATATTTTACTGAAAAATGAGCCACAGCATAAAGTTCATGAGGCCCCTCATGTCAGAACATACACACAGACCAGAGCAACCAGTTAGGCTGCCATCAGGCAGTATCATTCAGTCCTGTTCAAGCCTGCAAAATTCAGAGGCAGATAGCTTTAAAGAAGAAGAATCCAGAACTCAGGCTTAGGACCATAAGAGCAGCAACTGGGGATGAGGAAAGATGGAAATCTTGCCACCCACCCACCTGCCCTCTTAAGAAGCATTTAGGCACTGAACAGCAATGCCTGCATGCCTTTTGGAATAGATCCTTCTCAGGCAGGATAGGCTACTGCTGAAGTTATTCTGAAGGAGAGGTAATGAACAAGTCAGTCACTACTTACTAACCATAACAGAGACAAAAGGTCATCACTACTATAATTCCTTTCAGCACCAGAGGTAACAGAAGCCATGTTACAATGGCTCCTCACTTTATGGGGCAGGTCCGACTAGATTTATACATACTAGAGAAGTTACCCTAAAATTCCAGTGACAAACCTATATTTTGTCAGTGAGAAACTGATAGGTTTTGTCAAGGGAAACAAGGCAACAAAAGTAAATGCATGTATGTGCAGGAAAGGTGCACCAATATAAAAATTGGTGCCATATTGGGGATTGGTACCATTAAAAAGGAAAAATTAACATTGGCTACTAGCTTTTTTTTGGCTAGTGTAGCTGATAATGGTTAACTGGTAAGTATAAATATGACTTATGGCAGGGGCCCCTGGATGCTATATACATGTGAGCAGCCACACGCATGTATGTAGCCAGGAATGCAAGTGGGCAGCATGGACAGCAGTACCCTGCACGCATGTCTGTGGAGGGGAAGGGGTGTGGGGGAAAGAGGGGGGCAAATTGTGGGCCCCCACAGTGGGGAAGGGAGTGGGGCATGGGCTGGGGGTGCTGCCCAGCCCAGGCAGTGAAAATGGGACCCTGGGGCAAGGAGTGGGACAGAGTGCTGCAGGCAGCTCATCCAGGGCGTACAGGGGAGAGGGGGGGGATGGGAAGGTGGATCAGCTCCCTATTGCTACATGCACCCTCTGGGGGAGACCTGGGGGGGCATTTGCCCCCCAAATGTGTGGGGGCTTAGGGCTCTACATACTGCCACCTTTGCCCTGGGAGCTGTGCACTGGCCACACATCTCCTGCCCACCTGGCAGCAGGAGGCACAACTTGCTGCCCACTGCCACTGCTTCTGGATGGGCAGGGGATGCGTTGCCAGCACATGGGTCCTAAAAGCATCCTTGTGCTTAAAAATGGTGGCGGTAGTGCTTTTGAACTACAGCTCATTTAACAAGCTTTAACTCAAGCACCCCTGCCACCATTTTTAAGCACAAGGACACTGATCCCCTAGAGAAACCACCTGCAGCTCCATCTTACTCCCTGCCTCAGCTCCAGGGTCTCATTTGCCATCCTGGCTGGGCAGACCCCCAGCCCCACTCCCTCCCTCACTGTGGGGGCTTCCATCTGCCCCCCACTTTTTTTTGTGGAAGAAAAACACAAACACTTACCTGCAGGGAGCTGCTCTCCATGCTGCCCAGCTGCATTCCTGCAAATCTGTTATCAGTCATATCAGTATTGGCTGATATGCCTGGTGAATGATCGGCTATTGGTATTGACCAAGAAAGTCTTTATTGGTGCACCCCTAATGTCCAGTTACTAGGATCGGTAATGGTCCTACACACAAGGCTGCTGTGAAGTGAAGCAGAAAGCATCTACATACATTCTATACTAACATGCCTTACTGCGAGTTCAAGAACAGCCTGCAATTATTTCCCCATTTCAGATGCTTGGAAAATCCAAAAGCCAGTGCAGTCACTAGTAACATAGCAGGTGTCTGAACAGCATCAATAACGTACATAGGAAAACTTAAACTGCATTTCCCACTAGGGATATCCAAGTACTGCACAAGGTTAATGACCACCATACTCCAGGAGAGGTTCTTCTCAAAGATCTGTTTCATACCCAGATCTGAACACTGCTAACAGATCAGGCTGCCTTGGAATTCTACTGCCAGGAACATTGTGTTTCCAGTGGCTGGGTCTAGCCAGCTGTGCTCCCCGTATGGGCAGCTTCATAAAGGACGCGTACCACAGCCACTCAACAGTGATGAATAGTGCGTAGTGGAGTGATAGGACCAGCGAACTTTGTCAGGGCATTACTCACTACCTCACTCAAAGCACTCATTGCACTATGGTAGTTTCTATGCCAGCACCTGACCAGCCTGTGCCTACACAGATGGCAAAAGATGGCACACTGGTTAAGCTTGCTCACCAGAAATGTAATCCTATAGTAAGGAGCACAAGCATTTCTGTACCACTGGACATCTGGTAGGCATTGCATGTTACTGGCATCAGTAGGCAAGAGCTCATCAGTGCAGTATGCAGCTTGGTGCTAAGGAATTCATCAGGTGTACAGTCTCAACTGACTAGTATCATCTACTCAACCAACATCTTGCAGGGACACATTACCCTTCCCCCATCTTTTTGCATTTGGAGTCCAAGCCAAGACTAAGTAACCCCAACCCTCTTTAGGTAGTCAGCTTGGAAGTAAAGAACACCAAGAATACTATTAGCTAGAAGTGGGTGTCTCTCTACTGGGGGTGGGGGGAGAATCACCAACTTATGCAGTTTTAAAGATCAAGCAGCAGAGAGATTTGTTTTAGCCATCAGTAATTGTCAGCTATAGTACATATACATCTATTATGGGAAAAACAAGGCTACTGACTAGCCAGCACTGGTATTACCAGGCCCTGGAAGCCATATTTACTGCCTGTGGAAAAAAAAAAA